GATCCAAAATAACCCTTGGAATTTGAGCTATCTAGCCCTGGCATGAAGGAATTAGTTGGCCATTTTCTTCTTTTATTATATCCGCCTCAGAAGTAGAAATCACATCACTCCCATCCCTGGCTTTTCACTGAGCAGCACTTTGTTGTTCCAGTTCAGCCCAAAGTCTGGCCAAGTTGATGTTAAATTTTAATAAGAGTTTCTTTCTTCTTTCCAAATGCCAGTCAAGCACATTTGTAATACATCTGGGTGGGGGAGCTTGTTCTTTTTCAGAAATCTCATTCTAGATTGCTTGTAATGTTACAAATGCTGTTTGAAATAATTGCTATAGTTCTGTCATCAGCTCACTGTCCCTCTTTGGGAAGGTATCATCATCCCCAAAGTTAAACCGCATACAGTAAGAAAAGACATCATTCTTAGGCTCATCTGCCTCCTGGTCCAAAAGGGCAGCTGTCTTGTTCTCATGTTTTTCAGAAAGCTCATCAGAGCAGCTTCCATTGGTCCAGATGGTAACTAGTGAAAGAAAAACTGTACAGGTTCGAATGTGTTACCAGTCGGGACACACCTTAAAATGTTGTATGAATAGCAATCCAAATAGCAGGAAAAAGAGGACTGGATGTTTCAAAATGGGAAACATTAACACAGCTCAATACCTGAAAAAACTGGAAGAGGAGACAGTAAAAAACATTTTTAAATTCACTGGTATCACTGGATGGGCATCAAAACCCCGCCATGCTTGTTCCCTGTCACTGTGAAGAGGACAGTACTCCAGAGCCCGTGCTGTGCTCTGTTAGGATCACTGCAAGATTGATAACTGACAGAGTGTTTAGTTGGCTCTTCCTAAGCACTTAGTTCATTTGGTTACAGCTAAGTGATATAAATGCCAGTGTTACATGGTCCAGATCCTGACTCTAGAGTTTTACTCCCAATGTGCACATTAGATTTCCCTAAATATAAATATGTAGACACATTGAACCAGGCAGATTGAAGGAGCAAAAAGACCAGAATCCCTAAAAACAGCTTATTGTACTTTTAAAGTAGACCTCATCATAATGCCATTTTTGGTTTGCAGTTTTTTTGTTTTTGTTGTTGTTGTTGTTGTTGTTGTTGTTGTTTTGGTTTGGTTTGGTTTTTTGTTTGTTTGTTTTTTTGGTTTTGGGCTTTTTCTGTCTTTTCAAGTTCAGGAAGATGTTTAACATCTCACACTGCTCTTGGCTCCGTCTTAACGTCAGAGTGAGAGGACTTTTCCATCTTCCAACATCATTTCATCTGTCGCTTTTACAAGAACTCAGAATACTGAGGAAACAGGCTGGTTTCCCAGAACCAGAGGGCTTAGAGATCAGGCTTATCCTGTTTCCAGGCATGACTTTCTGGAACTGATCCAAAAGACCACCCTTCCCTTTTCTTCAAAGATCTCTGAAGAAAGCCTCAGGTCATGCCATAGTGGTTAACCACAATTCTCATACTTTATCAATTCTTTCTGCACAGCCTATATCCTTCCTGTTGCAAACATTAGACCCCGAGTATAGGTAAAGCGTCTACCCCAGTTCTCAGCACGTAGTAGGCGCTCAATATATGGTAGCTTCTACTGTTCTTCCTTTTGTTTGTTGTACCCTTGACCTATAATTCCAGCACAGAGAAACTCAGCCTCTAGCTGATCATACGCCCTCTCTTCTTGTTTTTAAAAACTGTTTCAAAGATCAAACCTATATAACCACTGTCGCCACCAAAAGAGTTGGCAGGTCCCATGAGTCCTGATTCAAAAGGCGGTGGTATAAGTAACCAGAACTCTGGGGCTGTGTGGTTAAGAGCAGTGAAACGGGCAGACAGGACTATTAAGTCCCTCCACCCGATTCAACCAAGATACAGACCGCTGGCTTGTGTATTGCCCTTGCTTTATTTGTTCTAGGCTAAGTGCATCCTTTTGCTTGGGATCCTCACAGCAGAATTCACCCTCAGCTATTACAATAAATTTCACCATAGAACCCTCAAGGCCATGTATGTACGATACCAACACAAATGACCACGTCAGTTGTGGAGAGAAAAAAGCCCACATTTCGTGACCAGCTTAATGCCAGTCCCTCAACCATATTTCATTGGTTGTTCTGAGAGTCATGTGCAGACATTTAAACCAGGGGATAGAGAGCTAAAATGAGATACCAAGAATTCCTCCCACACCCAGATATCTTCCCCATATTCGATGATTAAAACAGTTACAGTTCCTCTGCCTTTGCTTCCACGTCTCAAGTGTCCTTGACCATTGAAAAGTGCTGTGTGTTTAGTAGTATTGTGTGCCTAGCAGTGCTGACTGTGACTGCTGTACCATTTGCCTGTGACCTTGATGTCAGGCATGTGACCATGGGGCTGCCAGCCAGGACGTGCAAGGGGAGAGGTTCCTCGGCCTCCTTGTGCCCAGGCCTCTAGTTATCCACAAATGTTAGTGCCATGACTAACCTAATTTGGTGGGAAAGTTAGAGAAGGGAAGAGCTTTTTTTCTGACTTTGGGCTAAGCAGTAGTTATTAGGAACTCTCAGACGCAAAGAAAGCTTAACCTGAGGCTGGAGGAAGCAGAGATGGAATTGTAGAACCATAAGATACGGGAAGTCAAGGAGCCTTTCAGCTTCCCTAGTCCTAATCTTTGATGCTACCAACGAGATATGGAGAAATAGGAAATAAGTGATTTTCCCAAGATTGCACAGACTATCAGTAGAAAAAGTGTGACTCCTCATCTCCTCCATATTAGTATTAAATGAAGGTGGGCCCAAAAAGAATGTATGATAGTCTGGGGTCCTCATGGTACAGAAAATAAGTCAGACTGTAAAGGAGGAAAATGTATTCTCTTCTTCCCACCCTGGAAAAAAAGTATTTATTTGTCAGTGTAAAGCAGTATTTATTTGTCGCCTAGGCATACGACAGCCCACCGGTAATCACCTACGTTCTCGCCTGAAATGAGAGAAAACCCCCTTGGTCGATCATGATTCTGGTAAATCACAATTTAGTTATTAACGGTTCATATTTGACGGCTGGAATCTTATCCAGTAATTCAGTGTTCACCGTATCAAACCTTGTCTTAGCAATATGGATGCATAATTTGAAGCTGAATAATGAGAATAGTCATGTAGTTCTTTTTAAAATTTTTATTCAGCTTATTTAAGCTGGAAAACACCGCCAAACAGTTCACTTGTTGCATCGTTCCATGTGTCTTATTTTCAGCGCGGGTCCGTTAAGATCAGGAATACATTCTGTCAATGCTTTCCACATTGTAATTTCAAAAGCAGATTTTGCACTATTGCGTTAGTTCAATATGCTAAGAAGATGTGCAAATAACAGTGAGTGACGTTGAGCGGAGTCTTCACGTGCAAAATAACAGACCAAGCAATCTTCTGTATAAACCTGGATCCTTAAGTCCTTTTCCTCTGATTGTTTAAATGGGCCAGGCAAAAGTATCTGTTCAGCCTCTCCTTCTCCCTGAATATGCAGCACTGTCCTTTTGCTTACGAAGATTGTTGGGACTGTGTGTATGTGGCTGAAAAACCCAGATGGAGCATCACAGGTGCCAGAGACTTAAAGCCCCTGGGCCACCTGCCTAACCTATCTGGGCTCTGTGGCCCAATTAATCAAGGCCACGGTTGAATTGACACCAAGGACCAAAATGACTAAGTACGCCTCTCTCGCTCTGATTGCTTTGCCACATAGACATAACATTGGAAATGGGAAACATTTTAGAATGTCATTATTGTATTACACAGTATTTCCTAAAATTTGTTTTTATTGTGTTGGCTTATTATTGAAGATATGTATTTTAATAGATGTTTTTATCCTCAATGCAGCCCATTCTCATGTTGTTAATTACAGTGGAATCACAGTGAAGAGCCCGTCACAGGAAAGCCGACTCCAATCTGAGATTACAATGGGTTTATGGGGTTAGGACCTGGATTATGCGGCTGATCCACCAGCAAACAAAGCTGGAGGACACGAGGAGCTCTTTAAAACGCAACTCTGGCACCCCACCCCAGACCTTTGACTCAGAATGTCCTGGGATAAGCTAAGCTTACAAAGATTCCCAGGTGATTCTGATGTCGCCAGCATTTGGAAACAAATAATATATAGCGAAATCATATAGACCGTTTTGACCAGAGTAGCTGAATGCTTATCACTCCTCAGGCAATTAGTATCACATCTGTTCCTTGAAGGTATCATAATACACAGCGATACAGACACAGTCTTAGTGACTCAACTATTCAACTGTTTTGGCTGAATTGATCTGTCACTAATTTGTAAGCAAATAGTAACTGGTTAATTTAGTCAGAATGGATACACGCCTGAAGACAGCTGGAGTGAGGGACATAGCTTTAATATACTTTACCCCAAGGCCAGCAGTTTATAGTTCACTTTTGATATTTCAGACGAAGAGGCAGATCTCAGGTCATTCATCTCTACAAATGGATAGACTGAGAAACAGGGAAGTTAAATGATTCATTCAGATTCTACTTGGATGTCATTCCCAGAGCCTAAACTATTCCTGAAGGGGTCTGATTTCTCAACCGACAGGTAATGCCCCAAATGCAAAGATCCTCAGGTTACAATAAAACCAATCAAAAAAAGGAAATGCAAGAAGTTAAAATTCTAAGACCAACTGAGTATAAAATTCCAGGAGCAACTGAGCTAGCGGTCCCTGGCTGCCCTGGGCCAGCCTCTGCTGGTAAGGTGCCACCGGCTAATGAAGCTTTGGTCAGGCTCCTTTTGCCAGCTGTGCACATGCAAAGCCTTCAAATTATACATCATCAGAGACGCTAAAGGGCTCCTTTGATTTTCTTTCTGGGGAACTCAGACGATCGTAGCTCTTTGGCGCGCTGCTAAACACGTAACAGCTGGCTCTGGAGAAGGGGGAGCCCTGACCTATAGCACCTGCTGATCCCCATGGTACCAATACTCTCAGCATTGACCGTTGCAAGCTACTAACTTGCCGTTAACCAGGTGAATATGTAACAACTTATTTTCAGGAGCCACTAGGAGTTGGCTCAAGCCCGGGACTGCCTGAGCATCTTCTGAGTCAGAAAGAACCGAAAAGGAGAGGCTAGCAGCGGCTTTGGAGAAACTCCCAAGTGCCCCCTCCCCGCAAGGAGGCATTTCTACTTCGGTTAAATCTACTACTTTTTAGTATACTATTGGGTCCTTGAGGCTAAGGACTCTAAGATGTGCAAAATATTTCCTAGCCATGTGACTCTTAAGAACCTCTCAACAGACCACTCCGTCCTTCGGGTGAGCTCCCAGGTAAACGTTCTTTAACCGCCAGTTCCAACCATGTTTGGCTGATCTTTCCTTATATCCTATAGCCCATTGCCCGTTTCCCCAAATCTCTCATGTTCCGGTTCACTTGCTCCTCATTCTCTGACACAGCACCCAGAAATCAGTGCCTGCACAGGAACAGGGGAAGAACAGACATCCATCCAGTAGTTTCAGCTGGCCCCACCACACCTGCAGAGGCTCCATGGTTCAAAGGTCTCTGTCCCACCAAGGGACATCTGCTAAGCCTCATGCCCAAGGCTTGAGTATGCACTTGGCTGGGGTTTTTTGCCCACAGAAAGTTTCTAATGGACAATAAAGACCACAGATAAGAACACTAATGGGTAAACTTTGTAGAGGGAGCCATCAGGCAACGCCTCGCCCTTAGCTATGCTAGTGTAAGGCTGGACCCCAGGAAAAACTACCAACAAACGTTTGGCCACTGACGTTCCCTGGGCATTGAGCAGTAGTACTACAACTTCCCTTCTTCCTCCCACTGGCTCTAAGTGAATGCCCTACTTAACAGAGTGTTTAGAAATCAGACACTCTGGTGAGCCACAGAACAAGCTTTGTTTGCTAATTAAAGGTTTTTCTGATGGAAATCATTCTTAGGTAGATTTGATTCAATCCTTTGGAAGACAACACTGGAAAAAAAATGGATTTAATTCCTTAAACATCATAAGTGGACATGGGCTTTTATTCTGTATGTAGTAAATCAAAATTAGATCATAACAGAGAAAATCTACTTTCCTTACTGTAGTAAAATATCCTTCAGGGTCTGTAAGGCATTTCTAGACTACAGATGTTTGAAACTCAACTTGAACACTGTCTATCTTATGTTTAAAAGGCCAGGGTATCCCTCTGTTTTCTGCACTCTTTAACAGTCTTAGAAACGAGCTTGCTTCTTTATACTGAATAAGCTACCTTTTGTTTTCAATAAATCAGGTACCCGCTCAGAGGTTTTTCTGTATTCAACAAATTGCATGTAGCCTCGGCACAAAATATACCTTCATTCCCTGTTTTTTTGTGGACACCAAAGAGATAAGTCCATAGCTACAAGCAGAAAGGACTTGACAGTAGGCCCCATTTTATTCTGAACAAATTCACAGCAAAACCAGCCTTGAGGAACCAGTCACTCCCACAATATTTTTAGCTAAGGAAGTAGGTTAGAAAAATTGGTAGATGAGAGATGAGGAGAGAGGTTTGATCAACGTGCAGACGTGGAATAAAGTCACTGAAGTACTTACAAAAAGGAAAGGGGAGGTTTCCCTCTGAAATCTGGAACCTAGATCATTTTGCAAGGCTTAGAATAATTGGTCTCCATGTCAAAACACCCTTTAACCACATTTCAAAATCCAAATCTAAGCCCTTATTATGCAAAAAGCAGCCTTACAGCCAAGAGCCCTGGGAGGGGTTTATTGATGATTTGAGATCCAATCACCAAGCATCAGCAATTAGTGCTGAAATCCTCCCAGGACACAGAACAAAAATACTGAACCATCACCACGCAGCCTCGTATGCTCACAGAGGAGAGTCAACTACGCGCAGAGCAGAACATCCCAGCTATAGACATTATCTCAGGTCTAGATTCCAGATCAACATCTTCAACATGGTGATGAGACCGCTGAGGTCCGGAAGGTAGGAAACTATTTACCCGCCCAGCTAGTTCACTGCAGTTAGAGTCCCGGGTCCGCCAACCGCTGACTCTACTAGAGCACACCATGCTGCCTCCGTTCTTTAGACGGGAAACTGACAACCCATTGTAAAGCGTAAATCAGAGATCAAGACAAAAGAATGTTTGTGATACCTTCTCTCAATTGACCTACTTGGTTTCACCACTTCATTACAGCATCCTTTTAAAGAATGTTATACCAAGGTAGAAGGAGGAACAAAGCTCTTTTCAGAGTGATGATGAAACCAAAGGGTGGGAGAAGAGTGAATCTAAGTTACTGAAGAAATGAGCAAGAAGCATGCGTCAGGGAAAAGAGATGCTTCTTATATTGTCACAACCCTAACCCTCCCCTCACACACTTGATGCATTTATTTTGGAAAATGCCGTTTTACGCTGAGAGACTGGCATTGAGGAGTTCGCTCCTTCTCAACTACATCAGAAGCATCCTTGCTCTTGGGGAGAAGCTGCGGCCCTTCGGATCAGACCCCCTCCCCTGGGACGGGCAGCCTCAGCTGTCCTGAGGAACAAGGTGACAGACAGACGGGGCCACGGAGACCTGAAACGAGCCAGCGCTGCTGGACTGAGGAACATGTAAATAGCTTCTGCCTTCTTGGTAAACAAGGATAACCGTCTTTCTTTTGTAGAGGTGATCGTGTGTATCTTATGACTGTAGTGCGTGAAGAAAAACGCAGTGATCTGCTTCGACGGCTCCCCAGATGTACCTGTTCCATGTGAATATGCCTGCCTCGTTGCCTCATGTGCCAAACACAGTACTGAATGCGTTGTTTTTGAATAAACTCTTCTAGTGTGCATTGGGAAACATGGCTGGGTGTCTCTGTCCCATCTGGGAGACCCTCCCACCCCCACCCCCACACAAACACGCTCCATCCGATGCAGAGATTAAGCATCCCTCCTTTTGTTCAGTCCCTGTGTTTTGAGAAGTTCTCCTCGGAGAGGTGGACCATGCCAGGAAGGCTGGGCTTGGCTGCCTTCAGCCATGAAGGAGCAGCGAATAGTAAAAGCGCCCCCACACACCATCCTTCCATAGGTCCCTGACGCAAATCACGCAACAGGCCTTCAACATTATTAATGATAATACATTCGTCTTGAGTGTACAGTCACACACCCTACTTAAATTCATCAGGAGTCAGGTGGGAGGGCCACTGAGGGAGTTGGTCCCTGTTGCACAGACAGTGGTGGAGTTAAAATGAGACTGCAGCCTGATGCCAGTCCAGCATTCTCCTGCCTCTCACCCCTTCTAGTCTCTCTTCAGGCCACCTTCCCACAGAGCCTTCCCTCAATGTCTCCATCAGCCTCCATCCCTTTACATGGTTTTATTTTTCTTCATAGGATTTTCTTTCCTTGGGTTTTTTCCTAAGATTTTGTTTATTTTAGAGAGCGCGCGTGCATGAGCAGGGGGAGGAGCAGAGGGAGAGAGGGAGGGAGAGAATCTCTAGCAGACCACGATGAGCAAAGAGCCTGACTCCGTGACCCTGAGATTGTGACCAGAGCCAAAACCAAGAGTCAGATGCTCAACCAACTGAGCCACCTAGGAGCCCCAGCATTTTCTTTCCTTGTTTGAAATGACAGTATTTAATTACTCCATTGTCTGCATCTCCCACTTATTATAAGCTCTGCCTTCTACAAAGTATGTAACTTTGCTTGTCTTAATCATACCCTGCTCCCAGCGCCGATAACAGTACTGAAAGCTGAGTAGGCTATCGCTTCATCTCTGTTGGATGGATGCATGGATGCATGGATGGATGGATACACCAGAGTCTGTGTGTCACTTCTCTTTCTCATCTCCCTTCCCATCTTGATGCCTACACCACAGACACCAAAAGTCCTCACTCTGTTCTGACTGAGCTGCCTCAATTCCATGAATATTATGTGTTGACTGAATGAATGAATCGTCCTAGGAACTGTTTTTCTCAACATCCCTGCTCCAACGTCAAGAATGTTTCAGCATATTCATGCATCAAAGTGCGTCCTGTTCTTGTACTTGGTTGATTATAATTTCAAGAAAAACAAGAAATCATATAAGGTAAAAATATCACATTATTAGGAAGACTCTGCCTTTAGGAAACAGGGCCCCATCTGGAAGAGCCAGCTGTAACGCTCTTTAATTCATACCGAAAGCTCTTATTGGTCACTATGTACAACCTGGGCAGGGCAGGAACAGGATACAATATCACAATGCCTATCCTGAAGGAACTTACAGTTCAACACATTATAAGAGAATATCTTTCATCTGGGCAGTGCCAGGGAATGTTGGGATGCAGGTAAGGGACATAGAAAGGGGCAGACAGAAAAAAGAATGGCCCCATTAGGGGCACCTGGGTGGCTCAGTGGGTTAAATCCTCTGCCTTCAGCTCAGGTCATGATCCCAGGGTCCTGGGATCAAGCCCCATGTCCGGCTCTCTGCTCAGCAGGGAGCCTGCTTCCCCGTCCCCCTCTCTGCCTGCCTCCCTAGCTACTTGTGATCTCTGTCAAATAAATGAATAAAAATCTTAAAAAAAAAAAAAAAGAATGGCCCCATTAGGGGCATCTGGGTGGCTTAGTCGTTAAGTGTCTGCCTTCAGCTCAGGTCATGATCCCAGAATCCTGGTATTGAGCCCCGCATCGGACTCCCCGCTCAACGGGAAGCCTGCTTCTCCCTCTCCCACTCCTCCTGCTTGTGTTCCTCTCTCACTGTGTCTCTCTCTGCACATAAATAAATAAAAATCTTAAAAAAAGAGAGAGAGAGAAAAGAATGGCCCCATTGAAGTGAACACAATAAAAATTATAAAGGCCAAATGTAAATACTTAAGGCTTCTATTTCCTGAAAACTACTAAGGCTTCTATTTTCTGAAAACTACTATTTTCTGAAAACTACTTGCCAGTCTGATGATTACCTATCCCAACAGAGAAATGGTAAGTTCTTCTAAAACAAAGCACTTCACAAACTTTGGCAAAACATGAAATTGACACCAAGTTTATTGCAGCCTCTCTTTGCCTGGGGCCACTTAGTACAAATTAAATTTTAAAAGTAAATTTTTTTTTCCCCTAAGAAAATGCATTGCCACAGCTTAATCAAGACAAAGAGGATTAAGGAAACCCCATTCATAAAAGGACCAATCTGACCCAACACTCCCAAGCCAGTCAAGGAAGTAGGCTTTCTGCGTCAGTGGAAGCAAGGGCTCAGGCACCCAGCAGGCCTTGCGCAGGGTCTAAGGGCTGGGGGTGGCTGACACCCGCCTCAACAACTGACCTATCTCCCATTTTGAGTGCGCATTTCTTAGTGAGCAAGTTAGCCTGACGAAGGCTGATCTAAACAGTGTGTCATGTCACTCTTAGTCATAGGTAACCGGATTCAGTGAATTCAAAGCTCTCATTTCCAGATGAAGAAACCCAAGACTCAGGGGAGAAAGTCACTTGTCCAAAGGTACTCTGCTAGCAAGCAATGATTTAAGTACTTTCTCAGCTCTTCTGGGAAGCAAAAGGAGAAGAAAGTTACTTTTCTATCAACCAATATTCTTAACTGTCAATGAAGTATTGGGTAGGACAGTCTGCTCATCTGAAGCTAACTCTTCTTTCTTCTTATCATAAAAATATTCTTTGAAAAACCATTAGGAAATAGAGATAAGCAAAACTATTTAAAAAATACCGAAAACGTTGACCTGATCACCTGTGTGCTTCTTCTATACCACACATCTGATGTGTTTTCTGCCTTTTCCCCACTTCAAAATATACCAAGAGCATCTTTCTCTGTCATTAAATATTCTTTGGTAAGCTCACAGGACAAAAGCATTTATTTAACCCATTTTCTATTGTTGTTTCAAATTTAAGTTTAGGTTCTTTGTCATTATTCATCGCTGTAAACTGTGCTTTGATGAACATCTTTGTAACAATGTTTGAACCTCCATGATTATTTCCCTGAATAATCCCTTGAAGCAGATTTTCAAGAGACATGAAAAAATTTTGCAAGAGGAGTCTTTTTCAAAGGCAGTCAGAAGTGTTCAATGGAAGGTCAATGACCAACTTTTTAAATCTTTATTTCCCTAGAAAACTTTAAAAGGCTTAGAAAAGGCAAAAAGGTTAGGAGAAAAGCATGTGTCATCACCGAGGATGACTTCTTCACACAGCGGTAATGCCTTTTTATGTACTATATTAGCATAAATAAATAAGGTACGGGTGTGTGCTACTTGCATTCAGTTACTGCCTCTCCTGTTCAGGAGAAAGGAGACCTTCACACATTTAGAGAGAAAGCCCATCCAATTGCTCTTCATTGCTAATCAAATAAAAAGCACCCAGGATTATCTGGGAAAGACAAACCTTCAATACAATGATAGATAGCTCTCTCCCTTATTCCAAGAGGATGTTTATTGCTTACTCAATCCTACCAACCTAATAATGCTTCCAATTCACATTAAGTCCGAGAACCCAAAATGAGGAGATGAACTAACAATCTACCTTGAGGCTACACAAATCCTATAGATCAGTTGTTTCTGTTGAACTTTCTTTTAATCAATATCTCCACTTCTATAGGAGAGATATGACTCAAAATAAATGGAAATACGAACACATAGACTTTCAAAGCAGATGTGTTAAGGGTGGCTGACGAGAGGAAATCACTATAAAATTCCCTATTCCCCATCGCTGTCTCTCTATTAAGTAAATCTGTATTTGCACAAAAAATATATTAGTACATGTATTAATCACTGTCAGTCTTACAGTCTCTGTCGCAACCACTCAACTCTGACATCATGACATAAAAGCACCAGAAATGATACATAAATGAATGAGTATGTCTGTGTTCCAATAAAACTTTATTTACAAACTAGGCAGCAGCCAGATCTGGCCCATGGCATTAAGGTTTGCCAACCCTTGCTTTAAGTAACATGTTCTTTATGTTAAATATTTCACTTGACAACCTCCATTATATTCATTTCCTAGGGCTGTCATAATAAATTACCACAGTATCCATGGTTTAAAGCAACAGAAATGTGTTCTTGAAAGTCCTTAAGACCACAAATCTGAAATCAAGATATCAGCAAGGTTGATTCCTTCTTGAAGTTCTGAGGGAGAGTCATCTGGTCTCTCTCCTTGCTGCTGGCACCTGCCGGTAACCCCAGTGTTCCTTGGCTTATAGGAACATAACTCCAGTCTGCCTCCATCTTCACATGGCCTTCTCTGTGTGTCTATATCTGTATCCCTTCTCTTCTCTTCTCTTCTGAGGGCTTGCCATTGGGTTTGGGGCCCACCATAATTCAGAGGGATCTCATCTCAAGATCTTTACCTCAATGACATCTGCAAAGACCTGTTTTACAAATAAGGTCACATTCCAGGTGGACAGAACTTTTGGAGGCCACAGCTCAACCCACTACATCTGTTTACATTATAACCCCGCCCACCAAGTCATCTGGGGACCCGTAGAGAAGGGACCCTGGAACACAATTCTCTGATGCAGACTCAGATGTGCTGTGGGGTCATTTTCCCCTTTGAAGGTAACAATCCCATACAGTAAAAGCCCAGAAGCATTATTGGGTGGTGGAAGCTATGTTCTCAAATTACATTTATAAAGCTCTCCAGTCTACAGACAGTAAATGGATGTGTTTCCAACAATGGATTCAGAGACAAATCAAACATTACCTCCAAAATCAACAAATCCTCAAGACGTTACTCGTATACAAGAACTCATTCCAACTCCGTCCTAGAGATGCTCAGTGCCAGGGAATCTGATCCGGTGTGAAGTGAGTTTTCTGGCTGGGGTACGTGCAACCATATTGGAAGTTTAAAAAAAAAAAAAAAGGTGTGTAGTGAAAATACAAAAGTTGACCA